AAGGACAACAGAGACAGCAGAAACCCAGAGAACCACCAGAGATTAGTATGAACATTTATATGTAAACAAGTTCAACAATCTGGAATGGACTGACAAATTCCTAGAACTTTACAATCATCTGAAGCTGGATAAAGAAGAAATAGAAAACTTAAACAAACCAATTACAAGTAACAAAACTGAAATAGTAATCAAAACCCTCCCCCAAAACAAAAGCCCAGGACTAGAGGGTTTCACAAATGATTTCTACAAATAAGTTCTACAAAACATTCAAAAATGAATTAGTGCTTATCTTTCAAAAAACTGAGAGAGAAGGAATACTACCAAACATGTTTTATGAAGTCAACACTACACCAATAGCAAGACCAAACAAAGACAACATGAAAAAAGAAAACTACAGGCCAATCTCCCTAATGAACACAGATGTAAAAATCCTCAACAAAATCCTAGCCAACAGGGCCTCCCTGGTGGCACAGCAGACCTCGTGTCTCACCCGCTGCTCCCCTCAGCAGTGTATTTCAGGAGTTCTGCCTGTTCTGTCCCGCACTCTGTCTCTGGTGGATCCTTTCACCTGCACCCCCCCCGCACCTGTACCCCAGTTCTTGTATGCATAAGTAAGTAAATCTTTAAAAAAATCCTATTAAACAGAATCCAACAATGTAGCAAAAGTAAAATACGCTATAACCAAGTAGAATTCATTCCAGGGGCAGAAGGATGGTTCAACATCCAAAAATTAATATAATTTAACACATCAACAAAAAGAAAAATAAAAACTATCTCATATCAATAGATGCTGAGAAAAGCATTTGACGAAGTTCAACAACTATTTATGATGAAGGCCCTCAAAATTCTTGGAAAATAAGGAACATACATTAACATAATAGAAGCCACATACAACAAACTCAGAGCCAATATCATTCTCTTTTTTTTTTTAAAGATTTATTTGTTTATTTATACAAGCACTGGGTACAGTTAGAAGCGTGGGATGGTGAGAGAATTCACCAGAGCCAGAGAAGGGAACAGAACAGGCAGACCGATGAAATACACTGCTGAGGGGAGCAGCAGGTGCGACAGGAGAGGTCTGTCACGCCATGTGGGACCCTCACTGGTGGCCGGGGATCGAACTGGAGCTGCAGAGGCTGCGGGCAGCTTTGCAGCCCAGCACTCAACCGCTGCACCACCAGGGGAGGCCCGCCAATATCATTCTTAATGGTGAAAAGCCCAAAGCCTTCCCTTTAAGATCTGGAACAAGACAAGGTTATCCACTCTCACCACTGCTTTTCAATATAATACTGGAAGTCCTAGCTAGAGCAATAAGGCAAGAGGAAGACATACAAGGAATCCAAATAAGAAAAGAAGTAAAACTATCACTATTTGCAGTCAATATGATTATATGCATAGAGAACCCTAAAAACTCTACAGAAAAAACTAATTAAAACAATAAACCAGTTTAGCAAAGTACACAATCAACACACAAAAATCAGTAGCCTTCCTATATGCAATCAGTCTGAAGAAGAAGAAATTGGAAAAAAAAAAATCCCATTTACAACTGAATCAAATAAATAAATAAAGAAAGAAATACTGGGAATAAACCTAACAAAGGAGGTGAAAGACCTATACAAAGAAAATTATAAAATATTGTTAAAAGAAATTTAAAAAGACACAAAGAAATGGAAAGACATCTCCTGTTCATAGACTGGAAGAATTAACATTATCAAAATGACAATTTACAGATTCAATGCAATTCTGATAAAAATCTCAATGGCATTCTTCAAAGAAATAGAATATTGATGAAATTCATATGGAATCACAAAAAACCTTAAATAGGCAAAGCTCTCCTGACTAAAATGGAGGAGAATGGAGGTATCACACTCCCAAACTTCAAACTATACTAAAAGCCATAATAATTTAAACAGTAGGGTACTGGAACAAAAACAGACTCACAGACCAATGGAATCAAATTGAAAACCCAGAAATAAAGTCACACATACAGGACAACTAATCTGTGACAAAAGTATAAAGAATATGCAATGGAACAAGGACAGTCAACAAATAGTGTTCAATAAATGATGCTGGAAAAACTGTACTGTCACATGCAAAATAATAAAACTAGACTACTGCCTCACACCACGCATAAAAACCAACTCAAAATGGACAAAAGACTTGAACATAAGACCTGAAACCATAAAATATATAGAAGAAAACACAGGCAAAATAATCTGACATCTCAGAAACATCTTTAAAGACTCATCCCCTGAAGCAAAGAAAGTGAAGGAAAAGATACATGACAGGGATTACACCAAACTAAAAAGCTTCTGTACAGCAAAGGAAACAATAACCAAAACAAAGAGACACTCTACTGATTGGGAAAAAATATTTACATTCCACACACTGATAAGGAATTGATTTCAAAGATATATAAAGATATACAAAAGCAAAGCAAACAATCCAGTCAAAAATAGAAGAGTTAAAAAGACATTTCTCCAAAGAGCAACTGCAAATGGCCAACAGGTATATGAAAAAATGTTCAACATCACTTACAATCAGGGAAATGCAAAGCAAAACCACAATGAGATATCAACTCACACCACTGAGAAAGGCACATATTAAAAAAAGAAAAAAATGGCGGGCCTCCCCTGGCGGTTGAGCACTGGGCTTCGAGGCTGCCCAAAGCCTCTGAAGTGCCGGTTCGATCCCCGGCCGGCCGGCGAGAGTCCCATATGGCGTGCAGACCTCTCCTGCCGCGCCCGCTGCTCCCCTCCGCAATGTATTTCGTCAGGTGCCTATTCTGTTCCCTGCTCTGGCTCTGGTGAATTCTCTCACCCTCCCGTGCTTCTGACTGTACCCAGTGCTTGTATAAATGAATGAATGAATGAATGAATGAATAAATCTTAAAAAAAAACAAAACAAAACTGGCAACAACAAATGCTGGCAAGGATCTAAAGAAAAAGGAACTCTCCTACACTGCCAGTGGGAATGCAAAATGATCCAATCACTATGGAAAGCTGTGTGGAAGACCCTCAAACTACAAAAAGTGGAGTTACTAATTCCACTTCTAGGAATCTACCCAAAGGTCACAAAAACATTAATTCGAAAGGAAACCTGACTCCCATGTTCATTGAAGCACTATGTACAATAGCTAGGATACGGAAACAACCTAAATGCTCAAAAACATAACTGGATCAAGAAGATGTGGTTTATATATACAACAGAATACTATTTAGCAATCAAAAAGATAAACTCATGCCATTCGCAGCAACATACATGGAGCTAGAGGGGATTATGCTCCATGAAATAAGTCAGAAGGAAAGAGAAAAATATTGGATTGTTTCACTTATAGGAGGGAAATAGGGAAAACAAACAAGGGGTCAGGGAAAAAAAAAGACAAAAGTAGCAGTTAAACTATAAATTGCAAACATTCAGCTAGGGAGAGAAAGGGAGTAGGACCAAAGTATGGGAGAGAAGAGAACAGGAGACCATGGTGACGGTCCACAGGTGTTTCGGTGGGGGTAATTTTATGGGGATTACACCTGAGAGGAGAATGAATGATAATGTAAAAAGTATATAGTAAAAAATAAATAAATAATAGCCTTGATGTAAATGGAGTGAACGTAACAATCAGAAAGTACAGAGTGGCTAGATGGATCAGAAAACAAAACTTAATGTTCTGTTATCTCCAGGAGACCCATTTGAATAACAAAGCGAAGTACAGATTCAAAACAGATGGTTGGGAAACAACCTTACAAACAAATGGGTCCTTAAAAAAGTCAGAGACAACAATGCTTACATAAGGTAAAACAGAGTTCTAGCTAGGAAAGTTCACAAGAGACAGGGATGGACAATATATAATTGAAGGTAAGTGAACAGCATACCAGGAAGACATAATACTCATTGATATATATGCAACAAATGAAGATACATCAAAATATATGAAGCAACTACTAACAAACCTATAAAAAAGACATTGATGGAAGGACAATAGTAGGAAGGGACTTCAAAATTCTACTTTCCTTAATGGACAGATCAACCAGACAGAATAAAGAAGGAAACAACAGCCTTAAATGAGCAATTAGATTGCACAGGTTTAAAGGACATTTATAGGGCACTGCATCTCAAAAAAATGAAGTATATATTCTTCTCACTGCATATGGAACATTATTTAGGATAGACCACATGATGTCACTTGGTTATAATATCAGAAAAGTAAATATGAATAAGAAAGAAATTTTCAAAAAAAAATAGCATGGGAAATACAAAGGAAGATTCAGCTGGCCTTTGTTGACTATGAACAAAAGTAAAATGACAATTTTCTTTAATCACTTCAATTTACAAGAGAAAGAATCTCATTACTCAGGATATTACTTAGTACATTACCCTAATTTCAAGAAGAAGAGAAATGTCAGCTTAATATTTATATAGGATAAAGGAACTAATAGGCTGAATGTTTAAAAAAAAAACAAAACAGGTAGTGGGCTGGACTGTGACCAGCTTCTGGGATTCTCCTAGCATAAGGGTCTGGCAAAACACTATTTAAGGTTTTTATTTCTTCTGCCTCCACTGGTAATAGGGGGCCAATCCATTGAAGAATGGCATATACTGACCACCGTTCAAGAAAAGGATGAGACTACCTGTTACATTATTTATTTATTTTTTGTAATTAAGGTGCTCCAATGCTAAATAGCTGGTAGAAAACTTAAACAACAGGGAATAATCTCATAGATCATAACCTCCTTCAGTCAGAGCTCCTACTGTAAACTGAATGCATACATAATATTACATAGAAAGTCAGAAAACAGGTGGTGGGAGAGTTTTCAAAAAAAGTATTTGTTCTCCAGAAGGATTTTCTATTATTATTTTAACCATGTGTAGTTTTTCTATTTCCCCTAAATTTTCTGGCTTTAGAAAGGAAGTTTGGGGGTGGGAGGTGTTATAAGTTGGTGGGGGCTCAAGATATAAAGGCTCACACTCATTCATCTCAGCATTAAAAAAAAATCCAGTCTCACCTCTCTCATCCATTCTCGAATAGTTTTGCCAGCTTCTTGATGCCACACATTGTGAACAGAGTCTGTCAACGCCACAGCAGTTACCTTACTTTTTACATCTGCTTCTCGTTGAATCATCTGTTTTAAAAAAGGAAAATAAAATATTGGCTATAATATTTTTTTCTACTGGGTGCAGCCTGCTTAGTCATAGATAATAATTACATTACACTGAAAATGAAAATGCAATATGCATCTCCTGTTCAAAGTCACTGAAAACACGCCTTATTCTGGTCTAGAAATGTGAAAAGACCTAATATTTTCTTTTAAAAAGGTAATATCACGTAAGTCTTAGACCTATGCAGCTCTATTATTTTCCACATGGTTTGACAATTCAAGGATTAAAGAGATCACAAGGGAAAAAAGGAGGAATCCCTGAGGGTTTCTTTTACAAGATTCTTTCGCCGTTTTCTATTTCAGTGCTTCAGGGAAGTTATTACCTGGGGTTCACTGTTACCTACTTAAGACTAACGTCTACTAATTTTCAGTAGATGGTACATCAGTAAGGAAAGGTGTCTTGCTTTGTTTGACTTCTTCAATTTAACCAGTCTGCTCTTCACCATGGTCTCATAAATTCTTGGTGTTTTAATTACCCACAAAGATCATTCTTTTCAAAGTCTATCAATATCATTTTGCTTGCTAATATATTTTTATATAGATAAACTATTACTCTTTAGTTTATTTTTATAGGAAATTATTGCTATAATATTAAATGGTTTTAAAATTTAAAAGAGTCACTTGGCTTGAAGAAACTGAAGAATTCACCAGAGAACTGTAAGTAAATGAAGCTGAACAAAAAAAAAACTCAACAAAACCTACAATAGAAGAACCACTAAAAACTTTAATTTACTAACACTAGTGATGCTAATTTGACACAACAAATATAAGGTTTAATAAAAATTATAGTTAAAATACAGTAGCCTTGAATTTCAGTCATATTCCCTAATGTTTCTCCCCCTAAAAAAAGAACAATTGCCCTATCATTTGCTATTAATTTCTATGAATTGTCTATCAAAAATGTATTAATACATATATACAAAAAGTCTAAATGGCAATGAAAGCTTATATAGAGAACACCGCAAGCCATGTTTCTAATACCAAATGATGTCTGTTGGCATTCTGAATTAAAAATCTGTCTCTGTTTTAAATTTCTTTAAGCCCTGCATATGCACATCCCTTCCACTGAACACTAAAAGGAATCTAATTCTTTAAATGCTGCCTCAGCAGCATCTCTGCACCTCCAATCTTTGTGTCCTGTGTTTTCTGCTTACAGACTGTGATCTTAAAATCAATGTTAGCTATCAACATCATAATATGACTGCAAAAATTCACCTTGCAATACCAACACTATTTTCAAGAGTACGAAACAAATTCAATATTTCACCCTTATTATTAAGTTGTTTTCTTTCTTCTTTTAGATTTTTATTTAAAAAAAGAGAATCTCACTGGATTATAGCACTAGAATATAAAAATTTAAACTAACATTAGATAATAAAACCCCAAATTCCACAAAGGTGAATCCGCCCTATTCACAAGGAACTTAGAAGCCCTTACTCTCATTTTCTAAGCAGTAGTACTTTTATTAGAGATCCAGAGTGACTGTCAGTAAAGCTATAAAATAACAACTTGCCCTTCTGGTATCCTAAGAATATGTGTTCATTTTAAAATGTTTGCCCTGGGTGTTGTTGCTGTTTTGTTATTAATATATGCCATTGTATTGAAGGGGGTGGTGTCTGAAGATACTGAATATTGAAAGCCATTTGTGAAATCAGATAAAATTAAGTAATGAATAGGTTAAGCATTTAGTGCAAAAGTGGAAAGCATAGGGGTTATTCTACAAATCTGGAAAAATATACAGCTGTTAGGTGGACTACCAGAAGAAAAAAACCTGATCTGTTTGTCCATCTGGCTGATATTTCACACAAAGGAAGTGATAATGTGCAACTTTTTTTTTTTTAAATATCACATCAAATAATATTATACTCCAGCATACTGCCTTATTATTATAGTCTTTTACAGTTTGAAAATCATTTTGAATTGTATTCTTGAAGTGGAGAATCTCAATGAAGTGCCATTTACAAATGAGCCCAGTAACAAATAATTTCAACTGTTAAGGATTGGTAGAATTGTAAATCAGTAAATATCTTATTAGCTTTGCTTTTAGATTATTTACCTCTATGCTTTAGGCTTGCCGTAGTGAATATGGTAGTTGGGAAACTATCTGCAGATGTCGTTTCTATCCAAAATACCTGCTATTTGCGTTTGTTATCCTGGGTTTCAGCCCTTCCCTTCCTTACTACTTCCACTGAGAATGAGCACTGATGAAAAATGCTGGAGAGTTGCACTGATAGGGATAGACTGAACAAAGAATCAAGACTGTTTAAGATACAGATATTAGATGGACTAAAGTGAAAGTAGGGAATTGAGGAGGTGCAGATGGCAAGAGAACAACTTTTATAATAATCTGTAACAGAAGATCTTTAACAGTCTGAGAAACTCAGAAATCTGAAATGGAGAAAACTGTATACCAAAGTCCTCCTATATGTCAACCTACGGCAGAGACAGGGTTTTTATTAGTATCCACAGATATCAACACCTTTGAAATTCCTTGCAAAATTCTGTTGGTATGTGACATGAATATTTTTCTGGGAGGGGTTTCCTAGCTTTTATTAGATTCATGAGCTACTTTCAGCAAGGGAAAACACTAAGACTTTTTTTTTTTACTTCTACAGAATAAAGGAAAAAAGTCGCTATCCATTTGCTTAGAAGATAAGCTTTTGAAAAAAAGGGAGTTGTTGATGTTATAGGGACACTGCCATGAAGTCTTTGGAAATAGATTCGTATCTCTACTCTAGGGTCTTGGTTTTGGAAATTATGAATTCAACAATACTATGTTAATACTTTCAACCAAAAGAAGTATATTCCTGAGTTGGACTATTTTCACTCTAATCTAAAAATAAAAAAGGATAATTTCATTTTACCATATTTGTGGCCTAGCAGCCATGGTACTCAGAATAAAATTTCTTATATTTTAAAGTCCAAGGGGATCTCTTGAAAGGGGTGTGGGTTTTGGTAGGGAGGTAGATATGTGCATCCAGGTTCATATCTATATTTGGATATAGAGTATGTTTTAAACATGTTTTAAAGGGAAATGTTGGAACGTCTTTCATCAGCAAAAGCCATTACCTTCTTTTTAAATTATGACATGTGTTACACACATGCACTGTGAGGGTAACAGTATGAATCACTTGTACAGGAAAGAATATTTTGAAAGAAAATCAAATAATACATGTTTCCTTCAGATTAAGATCTGACACTGCTGTACACATTTATAAATCTGAGGATCATTACTACTGTATGAGCATGAATGAATCATCACTCTAGTTAATAGCACAGTTGAGGTTTGAGATGTCTTTTAATATATATATGTATATAAATAGATGAGCTCCCTGTGGAGCTCCTTGAGTTAGGATTTCAGACTAAGTTGCTTCAAAGGTTTGAGAAGTATGAAATGCTGGTATCTTTTCATTATGCAGATTATAATTATACTCAGTGCTTCCACATGAGTATAGTCTTTATGTGGTTTGATAATCTATGATATTTTATCACAAACCTTTTCCATCACTTGTACTTCTGCCTGTACATTCCCTAGCATATGGCACACTGCCCTGTGTGCTGTCAGGCCCAATGGGTTAAAAGTCTGCCCAGGGCCAAGATGATGAATCAGTCCACACTGATTTGGCAGAGTCTTTTCTGTTAATGTCTTCCTGAAGACTCTTGTATAAGTAGGCCCCAAGAGCATCTTATCCACAGAACAAATATCATCTTTGCTGCAACATTAGACTCTTGGTTCTGTCACCAATGGTTCTTGAAGCACCTCAAGTGATTACACTGAAATACACACACCTGGGTAGATAAAATGTGAAGACTAAACTGCCCAACAAGAAATACAGGTAAGCGTGACAAATAACTTCCACATGCTGCTCAGTTTATAATTCTAAAATGCATCTTATATTGATATCTATATCTAAGTCTATGTCTACACCTATTTTTTTTAGAACCTTCCAGTAAACAATCTTTGTAAGGAGTATGATTGTTAGGTTCAAGGATGTTGGAGTAAGATCATCTGGGTTCAAATCACTGCTCTGGCATTTCTGGTAATGGTACCTTGAGTGAATCATGTCAACATTTTCTGTGCCTCAATTTCATTATAGGTACAAGAAGGGAGATTAAAATACACTGAATTGTGATTACAGCAGGAAATATAAAGCAACTAGCAGATGAAAAAGCACATAGTACACAATTATAACAGATGATCCCACAAACATACACAATGCAAGCTACTTTATATATGAAAATTGGTGCATGCTCCTTTCTTAATGTAGTAGTCAACAGGAGCTTAACTTAGAATGCATTTAATGAGAAATATGATTATAAACACAGATCCATAATAGCAAAAATTGATAATTTTTTACTGATTTTTCTTGTGTATGTAGTTCAATAAGTTCTCAAACCTGAAGAGTGGAAAGAGCTGATTACTGTGTCTGTTTAAAATCCTGCAGTCAGAATAGTAGGCTAGTAATAGCACTGAGCACTTGAAAACTGAAACAGACTTGTTGAAACCACACTGTAGTAGCTCTGCTTCCCTGCCTCTAGTGACCCCTTTCAGAATTACTTGGGCTGGCAACAAAGCAGGAGGCACAGTTTAGTAGGGCAAAAGTGGTGGAAAAAGAGTTCTTTTACCACTTTGTTTTCCACATAAAGGAACTGTACCTGGCTATATTTTTAAAAGATAACCACAGAGATATAAAGTATGTCCAGAGGAAGGCAGTATAGTGTTATACTAAAAAGCATTCAGAGGCTTTGGAATTTTTTTTTTTAAATGAGCTGACATTGGTTTATAAGACTGACTATGATTTAGGGGAATAGGTTCACACCTGTTCACATGTATGCTTCCACCACTGCCAAAGTACCAATAATTCTCTGCCATAGACTAAAGGACTGCTTCCCCATTTTCCCCCCAAACTGCTACCTCTCCCTCCAGTACAGGCTCTAGAATTAGATGCACTTAAAATTTTACT